GCAAATCTTTTTCAGAGCTGATAGACACACACCTTAGCTGGATACAAAACATTTTATGAAACAGAATGACTGATCTTTGATCCAAGAAATCAAAGTCAAAGGTAATTGGGATCTCTTGCTTCTCCTTTTGTCTCCCAGCTGTGTGTCTGTTTTAATTTTAATACAAAAAAACAAAACCTCTACAATCCAAAGAGCCCGCTCTGCTCCTACGGGCTGGCTCCCTGTGGGGACATCGCTGTGTTTCTCCGTCTGGGAGGCCGGAGGTCGGAGCAAGGCTGGGGTGGGGCGCAGAGCGGGGGAGGCACTGGGGAATTGCATGCTCTCCGGGGCCGGCCCCATCCCAGGCCTGCACGGGCCTGCTCCTCTGGGCTTTGTGTGTCCCGCGTGGGTGGGGGTGGTGCACAGGGCCCCAGAGTGGGCAGGGAGGTCAGAAAACCACGCCCACTCTGAAGGACACACCCCAAGCGTAGGTAACTTCCCGTCCACCCAGGGGCTTTCTCGTAGTGTGCTTTTTTTTAAAAAAAAGATTTTATTTACTTGAATGGCAACGTTGCAGAGGGAAAGATTTGCTGGTTCACTCCCAAGACAGCTATGGTGGGCCTGGAGCCTGGAGCTCGGACTGTGGTGCCGGCGGCTTACCCTGCAGTGCCCCATTTGACGACATTAATTTGCTACTCTGAAACTGAGCCTGGAGCTCTGGTTTTCTCACTGTGTGCTCAAGGGAGCCCCGCTGTGGGAGGTGGGCTCCCTGGGAAGACTGCAGGGCTCTGGGGGATGAAGTCCTGGGAGGGACATTGAAACTCACGCTGCACTCCCCCGGCAGTGCCACTAGCATTGAACGGTCCCTCTGTTGGGGAAAGTGGCTTCCTTCCAGGCCCGAGAGTCCTGGAGAGCACCACGCTGATGGCACAGAACCGCCAGGACTTGGCCCAGTGCATTTTCCAACAGGGATCGTCAAAAGGCGAGAATCGCAGCACACACGGGCCATGTACCTGGCCGGGGCTGTACTCTCAGCGTTGGGGCCTGATTGCCTCACTGTCCAAGGGGAGGCCTTTTCAATGAGCCCAGGTCAGGGCTCTGGCCTCCCCCCACCCCCCTAAAGTCACCAGCAGGGAGGGGAGTCGCTGTCATGTGACGCCGTGAACATCTACACGGCCGCTTTGAGCTACAGACCTGCTAAGGGAGTCTGGTTCCTTTCACTGGCCTGGTCCTTCTGGAAGGCTCTTCTCTGTTCCCGAGCGCCCCGGAGCTCACGGAGATAGCTGGGGAAGACAGAAGGTCGCTTAGCCAGGAAGCAGCAGAGCCCCAGGGACACCATGGCCGCTGCTCCTGGGGAAGGCTGGCCTCGGCCCCGGGGCATCGCAGAGCCCAGCAGGTGCCTTCGGGCCCCCTCCTGCCCTCCCCAAGCTTGCCAGTCCTGGGAGCAAGTTCAGCACGGCGCTGTCGGCCACAGGAGAAGCGGGGACGGAGGCTCTCTTGAGCTCCTGTTGGCTCCCTGACCCCCATCAACACTGTCTGGCCGGGCCCAGGCTCTCATGGGTACTCTGGTGGTCGGGCCAGATCTAGGGAAAAAAAAACACCCTTGAGGTGTGGAGAGAAGCAGGACTGGGCTCTGCTGCAGGCCGAGGCGTGGGGACCTCTGAGCCCCGATTGAGAAGGGAGCCGGCCCATCAGGCTGCCTAGCGGTCATGTCCAGGTTCTCAGAATGCCCCCTGAAGCCGCAGGGCAGCAGGCGGCCTGGGCTTCTCTGTCTTGCGGCTCCTCAATAGCAGGGACAGAGAACGCCCTCCTTCCGTTGTCCATGGGCCCCATCCGGCCCCCAGCCTGTCTGGGTCAATAAAGCTTTATTAGAACACACCCAGGCCCGTGTGCTTATCCATCATCTGGCTGCTGTGATGCCCGGGAGCAGGGAAAGAGGCCGCAGAGCCCCCAAAGCTCAAAACTTACAGAGAACATTGGCTGCCCCCTGGCTTGTCCTCCTCTTGGGCCTGCGGCCATCTTTTCTGGAACATTTCCAGAGCTGTAACAGCGCTCTCTGTACACCAGGACTCTGCAGAGTTCACGGAAAAAGTAACAGGAAACTAGGGCCTGGATTTCAAACTGCACCAAAGCGATGCGTCCACCCCATTGCCCGTGAGCTTTCTCAAGTCCCCTCTAAATGACTGTCGTGTGCGTGAAGCACACGGGTTTCTCTAGCCTTGTGAGAGGGTGTGCTCTCTGTCTTAAACTCTGCCCTCGGTTCCTTTCCGGTCTCAGCCTTCAGCGTGGGCTTAGGAACCCCCGCCCCCCGAGGTTGCGGATGCACTCACGGCCGCCTCCCCATGGGCTCAGTTCTGGGTCGGGCACCTGCTCTGGCCGCTCGCCACGTGACCTCGCTGCTGGTAACCAGGTGGAGGCTGCCTCTCCGTGCCCTGACCCCGACAGGAGCCGGGATTTGGGGACCTTGGAGGAAGGGTGATGAACACCCAACTTCTTAACAAAGTCTTTTACCAGTTCGTGGCCATTTAGTGTCCAGGTTAGAATTTGAACCCAGGGCCCCTAATCCCCCTTCCTATTTTCCCATCGATAAAGCCTGAGTGGGGAGTATATCATTAGGGCTGACGTGAGAACGGATGCCCTGGCATTGAACGGGACCCAGCACCCGGCTCTTGGTCAACACGAGCAGCTCCTACCCTCCTGTACGAGAGGACAAGCGCAGGGCAGCAGCCTGCCTGGGGGGGGGGGGGCGCAGGGGGGACAAGAGCAGAGCTGCCCATCACCACGTGACTCGGCCAGGCCGCACGCATCCGGCACCCGCTGCATCCCGGGCTGTGGGCAATGCTTGTGAACTCGGCGAGGATGAGACAGCAGGCAGCTGGGGGTGTGAGAGCTGCAGGAACCCCTGGGGGAAGGGGCTAAGGGTCCCAGTGGCTGGGCCAGGGGGGACCTGGGGGCTGATCCTTGGGGGTGCAGCAAGGACAGAGCAGGACAGGAGGCAGCAGGGGGCAGGTCCTGGGGAGCTGCTGGGCAGGTGGAAGGGGCAGAGGGGGGCAGAGATGGAGGGGGAGGGACAGGGCCGGGGGCAGGAGGGCCTGGTGAACGTCGGGGACTGGGTTCGGAGGGCACTTACGTCCCCTCTTCTCCCCGGCACCCGAGTCCGCAGTGGGAGATTAAACCAGGTGACATGGCCAGGCAGACACACCACCCCCACCCCGCAACTCTCCGCACCTGGGGCCCAGGCTCCCAGCCGGGCCCTGCGGTTTCTGAAAGAGAAGCCCCCCCCCCCCCCGAGGACCCAATGCACCGAGTGCGCCAGAGCCACTCCACCTGCAGGGACGTCGCCCTGGGTGGGGGTGGGTGACAAGCCACTCGCTGGGCACCTTTCCCAACCTCCCCGCCCCCCTGTTCTGAGAAGGGAAACGACCCTTGGGCCAGGGCTGCGGTGCCAGCAGCTCTGCCTCCCGCTATTTTTGGAAAGCTGAGGCTGTGGAAAGTTTCCATCAAGGATCCACTCCTCGCTTCCTACACCGAGAAAACAGGAAGCCCTGCAGAATCCGGGCTTTGAACAACGCCGCGTGAAGCCGCCCGGTTCCCGCCTGCCCCTGGCATTCTGCGACCAGCCCCTCTGCATACATACAAGCACCAACCGGCATCGGGGGAGGGGGTTCCCTGGGCGTCCACGGGTGCCTGGACACGGGCTGTGCCCCAGCAGTGCCGGGCCATTGAACCGAGGGACTCGTGCCCACCACCGCCTCTGTCCTCGCGGTCTAACGCTGTGTCGCTCTCTCTGGCCACTTCTCTGGGGGGTATCTGATCCAAGCCCCTCGACAACCCGAGGAGGGAGGTACTGCTTACAGATGGAGGCACAGCTCTGTCCCCAGGGCGCGGTCTTGCAGGCAGGGAAGTGAGAGGTGGGATCCTAAGCCTGGCTGACACGCTGGAACCCAGACGCTCTACCTCCCCTTGCGCGTGCTCTCAGAACGCACTGAGCAGCAGTGAGCGGGGCTGGACCTGCGGGCACAAAGCATGGCACCAGGTCCCGGGTCGGCACAGCCACTGCACACATGCCCCAGGCACGGTGCCTGCGCGCTTAGAGTCCTCAAGAAGCCCTAGAAGGTATACGCCATTACGAGCCCCATTTTACAGATGAGAAAACTGAGGCCCAGCGATGAAGCCACACACTCCCTGAGCGAGGGAGGTGGGAGCCCAGCCTGGCTGCTGCAGCCGCCCCACTCGGGGGAGCGTTAACACGCCGCCCTCACTGCCAGTTTTGCATCAAAGGCAGCGGCAGAACCAGGAAACGGGTTCGTGACCTGCCTTGGGTGGGACCCCCGCAGGGTCACCCTCCTCTCCCAGGCTGCACTGAGCAGCCCCCTATCTCGGGAACGTGCCCAGCCTGCCTCTGGGGTGAGCTGGCGCTGCTGGCAACTGGCCATTTCCAAGCACGCGGAAGGAAGCTTTTCGCCACTCGCCCCTCGCTCAGCTCAGAGCGCAGACTCCAGGAGGTGGGGGGCCGGCCCGTTCACTTGCTTCCTGCTGGGGCCACACACCTACCTCTAGGGGACGCTCGGGGGGGGCTAGAATCCCGGTTGTGCCGACGAGAGAGGAATTCTGTTTAAATTGACGGCGATTCAGGCTTTGTCAGAACCGCACGTTCATGCACGGGTCTCGGGGAGCCTGCTTGTGTCAGACGTCATCGCAGAATAGGTGTTTTCTGGCTGCTGTAGTCACGGCAGTAATTTGGCCCTTGAGAGCCTCAAGTGCATCAGATAAAATATAGACAGGGGGAAGCGACTGAAATCCTGCCCCCTGGCCCGGAGCCATTTCTGCCAGAGAGGTGCACAGGTTGCCAGTTGAATGATTTTCACTAGCAGAGCTATTGCACAAAATACTGTCGTCCAGAAACAGAGACCCCAAAGGGGAAGGCGTGTTTTGTGCTAAACACTGCCCGCTGCGTGACCCCAGGGAGTCCGCGTGTGCCACCACCTCTCACGTGTCCCTCTCCTTCCTTTCTCTCGTAGTTAACGAGATTATCAGGAAGGAGTTTTCAGGACCTCCCGCCAGAAACCAGACGTAAAAGCAGCCATCACCGCAACGCGCCTTCCACAGCGGACCCCTCGGAGCCCTCCGCTGCCCACCCCGCGCCCTCCGCTGCCCGGCTCCCGGCCCTGGAGGCCGCACGCGGGAGCTGGCCGCCCGCCTCTGCCGACACCAGCGCCTGCTCTTTGCGTCTTCGCTTCAAATCCCCGGGAGCATCCCCGGCTGAACTTGTCGGCGTCGCAGCCAGCTGTTAAGTGCCTGCCTGCCAACCAAAGCGACATTCGGACCGAGCGGGACCCTGCAGCTTGCCTGCGACCTGAGTGGCTGGAGCCTGGGTTGACAGGCTGGGGGACAGATGCAGGCTCCTGTGAGACCCCAGCCCTCGCTTTCATGACCCCGTGCCTCTCCAAGGGCGAGCACACTCCCAGGAACACAGCCCGCGGGTCCAAAGTCCTCGACAGACACACACACACACACACACATGCACGCACACCGTGGTCCTTAGGGCTGGCCCTGTCCGTGCCTCCGCGAAAGCTTTAGTCCTGAATTTCCTCCTTCCGGAACAAAACTGCCTTCCCAGCCGAGACCCCCGTTACAGCGTCTCGGGTTAAGTTATGATGTGTACAAGTTTGTTAGCTTCTTTTTTTTCTCCGCTTCGGAAAGCCGACGAAGGCGGCTGGGGTGACGCCCTCCTAGCCGGCTGCCCCTCAGCCCGTGGGCAGCGGGCGTGTGGTTTCCACAGACCCAGGAATGTCCCTGGTTCCCGGGAGCCAGGCCCTGGCTGCAGCCGCCGGCAACCCCGTCCCCAGGGGCCCTGCCTGCCTTCTTCCTAGCGTTTCCCCCACGCAGCCCGTGTGTGGGATTTTGAGGAATTGGCAGAAGGGCAAACACAATGCAAAAAAAAAAAAAAAAAAAAAGTGCAAGTGTTTTTGTTAAGGAAAAAGGACCCAAGTGCTTTGTTAAGTGGATTTCCATTGAGAGAGAGAGAGACAGACAGACAGGAGGGGCCGCTTCCCTCTCCACCATCAACCTAAGGCAGGTCAGAAAAGCTCAGGCTTTGGTTCCAATACTCATTGGTCTTTTTTGCCGGACTCCCCCTCCCCTTCAAGTGTCCGCACAGGTGCGTCCTAATGGAAGCCAGGCTACCGCGGACTGAGTTCTGCACAGACCACCTGTTCGCTACGTGGAAATGAAATCCTAAATTTCACCGCAAAAAAACTTTTGAAATCTGTGCATAGCCCCCCCCCCCCATAATACACCTTTTTTTGGAAAACCTTTTGTATGTCATTTTCCCCTAGTATTTCTTGCCACTGAGCTCACTCCTGGTCCTTGAGTCTTCCTCCACTGGGGCAGTTTTTGCCAACAAAACTGAGTTCTCAGCAGGTGAATTTTCCGAGCGCAGCTGTGCTCCGAGGCCTGAGCCACACACACCCCAGGATAAGCTGCGGGTTCCTCTCCAGTCACCTGTGGCTCAGCCCGCTGCCCAGGGGCCCAGGCTGGGTCTCCAAAGTCCCGGCTTCCCTGTCCAGCTCACTCAGCGGTGAACCTGAGAGCTGGGCCTGTGCACGCGCTCATGTGTCACCTCTGGTACCACCTGGCATTGATTTCCCCCAAGAATGGGGGCAGCTTCCGTCCCCCTGCCCGAGCGTGGAGTTGAGACCCCCCCTCCCTCCCTCCTCCCTCTCTCTCTCTCTCAGCACACAGAACGCCGGCGCGCAGCCAGCCAAGCGAGTCAGGCACGGCTCTGACCTCGGGAGCTTTCTCTGCAGCAGCGCTGGCTTCCCTGGGGAGGAGAGCCTCCCGCGTGGCAGGCGATCTGTTTGCACTTGACCTGGCTCGGGGCCGAGTCCTGCACTTGAGGGCATCGGGCCCTTCCTCTGTTATCTCAGAGTCTCACCCAAGTGCCTTCCTGCTATTGTAGCGCAGCCGCTCAGCTCCATTGTCCACCGGGTGCGATTTCCGTCGGTCTCCTACCCGGGTGAGCGCGCAGGGCCTGCGGCCGCCCCAGCTCCTGCACACGGACGTGAGTGTCTGGGGGGTGTGTCACACACCCACGGACAAACAGCTCTGCTGCCACGTCGCGACGCGATAGTACAGGAAGCGCTTTCATCCCCGGCTCTACCAAAGAGCCAAGGAAAGGAAGAAGCCACAGCGTTGAGATGGACGGGTCAAGGAACGTGAAGGAGACAGCTACCAGGAAGTTGCAAGAGTTGCAAATGCCAGGAGGCAGTGTTGCCGGGAGTGATTGGGGAAGAGGCCACGAGGCCGGCCGTCGGGGGTCTCAGGAGAGGAGGGGTGTGTGTCGTGTGTCGCACGTCCGGGAGAAGGGCTCGGTTACGTCGAGGTTTGCACTCGCAGCGTCCAAGTTCGTGTAAATAGGTAGCCCTCGGGCAGGTCTGCCACGTTGCCGAATGGAGTATATTTCCAAAGTCTGCAAGTCTTCCTGTATTGTACAAAAATACTGCTGCTTCGTAATATATAGCAATCCAAATTAATTAGTATCTTATTAAATTTTATTTTCTTACCTGTATGTTTTTTTTTTTTTGCTTTATATCTATCCTCAGAATATCACACCCTTATGGGAATTAGAAAATATTTATAAATGGTCAGAAGTCTTTTTAAATGTCTCTTTTTACATATATGGATTTTTTTTTCCTTAAGAGAAATGATGTATTCTTGAAACATTTGCTGATCATTCCAGGAAACCAAAAGCAAACAGTCCATCCCGCCGCAGAGCCGGCGCCACCTTCCCGGCGGGAGTGGCCCAGGACGGGGGCGGCCGGCCGGGCGGCTCCGGGACCAGCTTCTCCTCGCCTCTTCAGCCCCAAGCCTGGGTCTCGTCACCGACAGAATCGTTCTGTGAGGCCTCCAGACCTCTCCCCACCAAGACAAGCGACCCAGAGTGGGACCTCAATTAACAAACAAAAAAACCAGCAACAAAGCCCATCCTGCCGTCCCGAGGCTCAAAGGATGTTTTGGCAAAGCCACTGCCCAGGCCGACCGCATCCTTGAGGGCTGACTAGTCCTGGTATTGCTGGCTGCCTGCAGGGTGATCCCGGCACACACAGCCCGCAGTGGGCGGAGCGGACGCCTTCTCACACCCAGGTGGCCCTGCCTGCAGCTTGTTCATGTCCAGTGGCCAAGACGTCTGCCCCAGCGTGCCGGTGGGAGCTGTCACACAGATCGGAAGCCCGGGTGTTCTGACTGTCACTCACTCCAGACTACAGTGAGGCTGGATCTGTTTATTTCCATGTAAGGAAAAAGACAAACGCACACGATCTCCACTTGCTCCGATTTGTCCACAGCCAAGAGGACGCCGGGTCCACAGAGCAACCATGTTAATTTCGTGTGGTTCCTTTTGCAAGTGGCTGGGGTGGGATGGGGGCCGTGTCACGCGTTCCCAAACTCCTCTCCTGGAGAGGTGGCTCTGAGGGACCCAGCACAGCCTCATGGGGGTTTCCTAAGTGTAGGGTGTGGGCGTGAAGTCTCTTGGGACCAAAGCAGCTGACTGGATGGGTGAGAGTGGGAGGCAGAAGGCGAGGAGCAAGAGCAGGACACGTGTTGGGGGTTTGGCCAGTGTCTGATGGGCCTGGCCGGTGTGATCAGAGGCGCAACCTCCCGGAACCCTGGGGACAGAGCCTGGCTCACCCCATCACCTCTGCAGCCCTCAGAGGCAAGGAGGCATGGGGAGTTCTAGTAGGGTTCTCCAGTAGACCCAAGTCTCCCCAAAGGGCAGTGCTGGAAGGCTTGGCTTTGGAAAATCCTGACTGTTAGACGAGTTTGAATACATCACATTCCTATGCAAAACGTTTTTAATCTCCAGTTTAATGCAGTTTATTTTTGCTATATGTAAAGTATTTTTATACGGCTTGTATTATGATAGTTTAGCAATAAAATGGTTGGAAGCAACTTTGGTGTGCACTTTTCTGCTCTGCTCGGGGACGCTGGGCAGCTTCTTGGCAGTTGGGTCCCTTCGGCAGAGAATGTTCATGGCTGTGGACCTACTACGTGCTCACACCCGCTCCCAGCCCAGGAGGTGCTGTCCTGTCTCAGAGGAGACGGAACCACAGCTCAGCCTGTGGTTGCTTGACTCTCTGCATCACAGCCCTGCTGCCTCTCTGGCCCCAGCCCGCCTGCGTAAGCTGGCTGATCGTATCAACCCTGGCCGTCCATCAGAGGGTCCTGGGGGTTTGCAGCTAACGGGGCCAGCTGCTCACTTGGAAGGCAGACGTCCCATTTGTTTTGAGCATCTTGCAAAAATTCCAAGGTCAAAGCAAAAACAAAACACCTTCACCATCGAGCCCACAAACAGAACTCGAGAGCCAGAGGACTGCGGCTTTCCGGCCTGTTTCCGCCTTAACACGGTGCCTCCCCGCCCCCCCAGCTGGGGCCGAAGCCCCTAGAAGTGTGCAAGGAACTGCTGCTGGCGAAGCCTTCGCAAGTCCAAGCTTCCCCTGCCCCCTTCAGTGCTGCCCTCAGATCCCCGGGCAGAGCCCCTGCCCAGGCCAGGCTTTGGGAACCCACCCCATCTCAGCCCCGCACCTGGGAGGCCTGCCTGGGAATGTCTGAGGGCCCCTGCCCGAGCCTGGAGCCAGCAGTGTCATGTGTGCAGGTGACCCCATGGCTGTGGTGGCTGGAAGGGACCCCCTGGGATGTCCCGAGTCCCTCTGTGGTGGGAGCAGCTGGTCCCCCACCCCCACCCCGTCCCTCCCGTTTGGCTGCCCCCAGGAGGTCCAGAACTCTCACTGCAGGGGCGAGGCCCATCCCAGCAGGGCTCCCTACGGCTGCTGCTGCGGTTTTAATCTTTCTAGCACCGTGGGAGGTGGGGCCAGCAGAGTGGTGCTACCACGCCTACTCGCCAATGAGTCAAATCACAAAAATTCAGCCAGCCAGGGCCACACACACGCTAGAGGCCACTCTGCACCCCTAAGATGCTTTCCACAGCCGTGCACACCTGTCATTCGCTCCCTGAAAAGCCTGTGCCTTCCGGAAAAACAAACAAACAAAAAAACAACAACAAAAGAACCACAAAACAGAATCGTCTTGAGCAGAGGACCAAGGTAAAAGGGGCTGTGTTCCCCCTTTGTGCGTGAGCCGCAGGCCTCGGGGGCCCCCGTGTCACGTGAAGACAGGTGCACAGTGCCCCGCAGCTATCAGCAGCCGACCTCGTAGCTGCCTGTAACAGACTCAGCTCCGAGCTCAGGCAGGGACCTGGAAGAAAACGGGCTTCTCCCACGGTGGGGTCTGACTCTTTCTAACTGGATCTTAGAGCAGGAACCTGAGTTTATCCACCTTCCAAAGGCTGACACGCAAGGGAAACACACGCGGGGACATCTGAGGGTGACTCGGCCAGAGCCGGCAAGTCTGAACCGGCTGCTGGCGGTACACGGGGGTCTGGTAAACGCCTTTGTACCAGCAGTGGGAGGCCGAGCACGGTTCCCAGCAAGCGGGAACCCAAGGAGCAGGCGGGCTCGTGGGAGGAAACAGCGCTGTCGACTGCTGCCCCCTCTCAGGGCCACAGCCTGGAAGGAAACAGGCTCCGTGGAGGACAGGCTGGGCAACAAACAGTCTCATCAGGCAGGCACCCGATATCGAACAATCAGTCACCCCAACACCAAACTGAGTCTCATCAGTCACCCCAGTAGCAGAGAGTCTGGATCAGGCAGTCACCCAGTAACAAGCTTTCATCTGGCAATCACCCCAATATCCAGTCGAGTCTGGATCAGGCAATCACCCCAAATCAAACAGCCTGGATCAGGCAGGGCCCCAGAGGAGGATCACAGAACCCCAAGGAAGGACTTTCAAGGAACGCGTGCGTGCAGAGCCCCGGAGAAGCCCACGCCTCCCTGCAGTAGAGGACAAACTGCCTCCAGCGCGGGGCCTTGCTGCCCGGCCTCCTGGCGCAGCTCTGTGACCAGCCCCAGAGCCCCAGAGCCCCAGAGCCCCAGCCTGAACCCCGCACTGGCTTCAGGACACAAAGTGCCTGACAGCCCGCGCTGCCTGCCGCCCTTATCAGTCCTCATCGGGGAATCGGGCCCCTGCCCTTTGCAGAAGGGCGCTAGGGGGAGACTGTACTGAACCCCTGCCCCCCCCCAACACGCGGCCGGCACCTTCTGCCGGCTCAGAGCATCCGAGGCTGTGCACGGTGTCCGGAGGAAGCGCTCTCTGCCCCCAAGGCCATCGATGGGGCAGCTCGGGGGCGGGGGGCGAGGGAGCGACCCCTGGACCATCTTGACACAGCGTACGTGCCTCCTAGGCTCATGCTCCAGATCACCTGCCACTGCCCACTTTGACAGACACGGGGTTTGCACCCCGAGGTGCCCCCTCATTCCCGACCCCCCCACCCCACCCCGCACATCAGCTCTGACAACAGCTGCAGGGCAGCAGCTTGGTTGGAAACCTGGCAGGAGCCTGGGTCTCCGCAGTCCCCATCTCTCTTGCCCCGGGCGTCACGGTGGCCATCTCAGAAGCCCATCCCATCTGCCTGGATGGCAGAAGGGCCCCTCCCCCTCAGAGCCGCCAGGCTGAGCCCCTGAGACCTGGGCTCCTACCTGGCCCCTGGCTGCTGCCCCGCCCAGGGCTGCCCTCCGCATAAAACCAGGCTCGCAGGCCAGGCGCCTCGCACCTCTGCAGACTCAACTGTGGCCCCGCCTCTCTCTCCTGAGTCTTCCCAGAGTTCCTCCCGCCCTGTCTCTGCTCTCCCTAACGCCTGAAGCTCTGACCCGACTCCCACGCACCTGCTGGCCCTTCCGCATTCTTCAGGTCTCAGATCAAATGTCCTTTGACAGAGAACTTGCTGGAACACCAGGTATCCTGTGGGATCTACCTGCACCTGCCCTGACACACGCACACACCCATCAGGCTCTCTCTCTCTCACCATCCGCATCTGTCCGCCAAACCTGCCAAGTGCAGCAGGACACACAGTGCTCGTCCTCGCTCTGCACCAGCAGGCCCTGGTCACTGGGTGTGCAATGGACCCGCGTGCCTAACCCTCAGACACACGCGCCCCTGAGAACGGAGTCCCCGGGATGTATGGGAAGCTTCACACTTTTTTAAAAAGTGAACGACGGACTCGGACTCAAGAGAGAGCTTCCTCCTGTCCCATGCAGCTCGGTTTATTCCTTCCCAAACGCCTGTCTTCTAGAAAGAGCCAGAGCCCCTTGCTGCAGGTGGCAGTAAACCCCGTGCCTCCCCAGCACGCTGGCACTGCCAGGCTCTGCTCTGTCCCTGGCCGCCCGGGGCCCTCCTGCCTGTACAGTGCCCAGAGCTGGGGACCAGCAGCTCCTGGGGGACAGGTGGGCGATGGCACTGCGTGCAGCTGCCCCTCACCTGCCAGCGTGCACCGTGACCGGCCCCAGGGAGATGGGGAGGAGGGGCTTGTGCATGGAAGCCAGGTGCCCAGAGGCTGCTCTGGCTCCACCCCTCGCATCTGGCTCTCCCCAGCTGCACCTGCGGCCAGGCCAGCAGGAGCCCGCATTCTCATTTCCCTGTCTCGCCCCAGGCCTGGAACCCCAGCCTAGGCTCCAGAGGGCCGGGCACATAAAGTTCTGAGATCTATCCCACGGACACTTCCCAGACTCTGAGAGCGGCCAGCACTGGCCAGGGGAGGGCCGGGGCTCAGAGCTAGGGCGTGGGATCCCCGGCCCATGGCTGCCCAGCCCCCGGGGCTCGCAGCCTCCCCCCAGAACGAGCTCATGTCACTCATAAGTCACCCTCTACCCCCACAAAGATCCCCCCTCCCTGCTCCCCCCGCCCTCTGCATCTCAGCTCACCGTGAACACCCCTGCCTTGGGCTGGGGGTCTGTTCTCACAGAAACCCAAGGCCCCGGTGACCCTCACCACAACTCACAGCGACACCCACTCGCGAGCATCCAGTTCCGGCGGGCAGACGTCTACACGGGGAGCCGACGGGCTAGTGGGCCCCTCGCTGCTCTCACCTCCTAGTTCCCCCAACTCACCTCCTCCTCTGAAGGCCCACTGGACTCCCAGGAGCACTTTCGACACACCTGGCTCATCGCCCCGCCCGTGATTAGGAATCGCACCTGCTCCCAGGGATCGGGGCGGCTGCCTGTGGCCCAGAGCCCCGGCCGGGCCATGCCCCAGCTCTCCTCCTCACTCCTCGGGGATGTCGGAACCTGGGGGCCCCATCCTTGAGGATCCTGGCACAGGCAACTTCTCCCATCTCCCATTCCCCTCCCCAGCCCCTCCCCCCACTTAGCGAGGCACACCTGGAGGGCGTCTGAGGCTGATGGAGACCTTGTGTTTCTAGGGGGCCCAGGTGAGGCTGATGCTCCTGGCCCCTCGGGGAGTCCTGGCCTCGCCCTCCACTGCTCCCTTGCTCAGCACCACCCCCGTGGCCTCGCCCTCCACGTGCCCCTCCCTCCCATCGTGGCCTTGCCCTCCACTGCTCCCTCGCTCAGCCCCGCCCCCCCAGCCCCCGCCACACTGCGCAGCTCCTGTCTGTAGTGCCTGACCCCAGAGGCGGCTCCTGCCAGCTCCCTTTCTCCTCGTCCCCTGCTCTCCACTCTTCCCGATGCCTCTTCCATGCCCCTGCCTCTCTCCCTGAACCCCCGGCGCCCCCTCCACCACGCTCACGCTCTCCTGGTGCCCTTGCCACTCGTTCCAGGGGTGGGGGGATGGAAGCATCTGGAAGGGGCCTGCTGAGTGCTGCTGCCATTCACGGCACCTGCCCCCCCGCCCCCGCAGCTCTGCTTCGCTCCACCCCAGGCTGACTGCCACCCACCCCTCCCCCTTCCTGGGACAGAGCCAGGCTCACCCGTTCCCCTCCACCCCCAAAGTCTGTGCCCTCAGATCTGACAGCACTGGGTTCCAGCCAAGACATCTCCCATGCTCCCTCCCCAAGTAGGCACTAACTGGCCCTCTGGGAATCTGGTGCATTTTTGGTTAGC